AACACGTGCTGCCAGACCTCTTTGTACCGGAGTGAGTCCACCGGGGCATGTTTTGATTGCGTTTGGGTGTGTGCTTTGCACGTACATGTGTGTAATTGTGTGTGCGTGTGTGTGTGTGCGTGCGTGCGTGTACGTCTTGCCAATATGGGTGTTGCAAGACGCATTGTTTCTTACATGCACTGACGAGCTCGTGCTCACTGGCTCATCCCCACTTTCCCACCGTGATCCTCACATCCTCATCACATCCGCCTTCGCCATAACTCCAAGCTCTGAGCACGTCTTGCACAAGGGCGCGTTGCGTGCAGGCAACGGCCTCTGCCTGGACAAGATGGGACACAGGGCTGGCGGGCAGGTGGGCCACCTGTTCGCGCGTGTGTGCATGCATGAATGTGTGCGAGAGGGTGTGTGTGTACATGTGTGTGTTTTGTGTGTGTATGTGGCCTCTATGCACTCCTGCTCACGCGCATGTATTTACACGTCTGTTGTTCGCTTACTGCGTGCGTGTGTATGTATGCGTGTGTATGTGTGTATGTGTGTATGTGTGTATGTGTGCGTGTGTGTATGTGTGCGTGTGTGTATGTTGGCTACAGGCTGGCGTGTTCAGCTGTCACGGAGAGGGCGGTAACCAGGGATGGATGTACACTGTCAATGACGAAATCAGAACAGGTGCGCATGTGCACATGTGTGCGTTATGTTTGCATGTGTGTGTGTGTGCGCGCGCGCGCGTGTGTGTGTGCATGTGTGTGTATGTGTTTGTGTGACCAATGACACGCACAAACACATACACACACCCATCCTTGCTCACCTCAAATAACCCCACCACCGCGCAACAGCGGACAGCCTGTGTTTGGATGTGTACTCGTCCAAGTTTCCTGCGCCAATCCATCTCCAGCGCTGTCACCAGGTAATGACGACGGCTCGTGCATGCGCGGAAGCGTTTTCTGCTCCTCCTCCTCCTCCTCCTCCCCCTCCTCCTTCGTCTGCTTACATCGCTCCGCTCAACACGCGTCCTCACTCCTCGTTATCACCTTTGCTGTCAACAGAAGCAGGGCAATCAGGCGTGGAAGTACGAGAACAACGTCTTCCGGCATGTCGGTGAGTCAGTTGGTTTGAAGGTGACGGGCGTGTGACGGGAGTGTGATGGAAACAAAGATGAGCAGGTCGTGGCGCTGCTGTGAGGAAGTGATCAACATGGTGCTGAGGTGGACTCACTCAAAGTTCCCCATGCGCACACGCACACACGCACGCACACACGCGTACACACACATATGCACACGTAGCGAGCAACGGATGCCTGTCAAGTGTTGTCTCGGGTAATGGACAGCACGAGTTGAAGTTGGACACATGTAAGGAAGGGAGCTCTGGTCAGCAGTGGACGTGGGTGTGATCGTTGCGATGGGTACAACCACGACGAACATACAGCCTCGACTGTGTTTGTGTGTGTGTGTGTGTGTCTGTGTATGCATGTGTGTGTGTGTGTGTTGCGTTACCAGCAATGTCCCATCTTCGTCAACGTCACAATTGCCTCCGCTTCCCGGTCATTTCGTCACAGCATGCGTACAGCACATAGCGTTCTTGTTGAATACAATTCTGGGTTGAGGAGAAACAGTGGTATGGCGCGCGCGTGAACATGCACACGCGCGGGAAAAATGAACAAACATGGAAAGGGATTTTCTGCCTGAACGTAGCTGAACCATCACACACACACATACATACACACACACACACACACGTTGAATAAGTTGCTGCACTCATCAGTCCACGACTACACGAAGCTGACATCATCAGGCTGCACAGACACGTTCAAATGTCGCTGCTGTTGAATGCCAGTGGTGGTGGTGGTGATGGTCGCGGGTCCACCGTTGCCTTGTGCCACACCAACATCCCTCGCGTCGCTTTCTTGATTCGCTGACGTCACTGCACCACTGCTACTGGCGTTGCTGCTGCTGCTGTGTGCATGTCGTTTCAGCGTAAGACCGCTGTCACAGTGCGCGTGTGCGTGTTCATCAAGTGAAACGGTACGTGCACCGCCATCAGCAGCCAGCACCGTCCACGACAGCATGTGCTGCTCGTCTGTTGGCAATCCGCGCTTGTCAAAGCAAGCAGCCATGGCCTGATGTGGGTTGGTGCAGGGAAGGAGGGGGAGAGGCGTGTTTGTGCATGTATACATGTGCACATGTGTGTGTGTGTGTGTGGCGGGGGGGTTGAAGTTGGTCGTGGAGTGAATGGATGTGTGATGGTGAGCAAGTGGTGAATGATGCAGGTCTGGTGCACACATACTCACACACATACACACACATACACACACACGCACACACACACGCACGCACGCACAGGACCCCCCCCCCCCCAAGCCACGGGAGCAACGTGCCTGCCTGACGGTGGAGTGCTCGTCGACGGGGATCTGTGAATAGCTGCCGTCCTCAAATGCGATGCGCAGATTCGGGCGGCGCCGAAGATTGATTTCTTTGCCCTGCACAATTCCGCACGGCTCGTCCCACGGCAGCACAGCACCCGTGTCCGCCTGGCACGACGGAGGTGAAGGGGGAGGCGTGGGAAGGATGTTGTGGTGTTGGGTGTGAGTTGTGAATGACAGCAAGGCGGGTGGGTGGCTGGTTAACTGTGGAGGGGAGTGTGTGTGTGTGGTTATAAACACACACCACAACACACACACACAACATGCAGCACACCTCGTAGAGGGACATGAGCTGGCGTTCGAGATGCCACTTGTCAAGAAACGGCTGAATGGCAGCGGCGAGCGGCATGTACGCGGTCGCCTTCACCACAGACCTGAGATGGTGGTGGTGGTGGTTCAATGGGATATGGGAATGAGATGTGGAATGGGCGGTGGTGAGGAGAGGAACAAATGAAAGAAACAACAGCGCAGCACAAGACGAACCTGCACTAACACACGTGCAAGCACAGCCACACCAACACACACACACACACACACACACACACACACACACACACACACACACCAGCACACACACACAAACACACCAACATACACACCAACATTCACACCAACGCATGTACGCAACGATAACATTCTCTCTCGCTTTCCCTCCCACTCCCTTGTCTCACTTGTAGTCGTTTCCGAAGCATATGCGGAACACGACACCGTTGCTCTGCTGTTCATCGCGAAGACTCGTCCTCATCGTCGACACAATCGTCGCGTCCATCTCGCCATCACCATCACCATCACCATCAGTGCCATCACGGTCATGATCGCCAGCAGTGCTGTTGGTAGCAGTGGTTGCGCTCTCTCCGTCCGGCTTTGCGCCACCTGCTGTTGTTGTGCGCATGTTTGCGTCATCTGCAGGTGCAGTGTCGTTTACCGTGTCATGATCAGCATCTCCACTGCCCGCTGTTGTCGCGTTCGTGGTGTCACGCTCTGATTGGTTGAAGGTCGAGTTGGCACCGCCATCAGTCGTGTCTGCATCATGACATGTGGACGTGTGTGGATGTGTGTGGATGTGTGTATGTGTGTGTGTGTGGATGTGTGAGAGAGAGAGAGAGAGAGTGTGTGTGTGTGTGTGCACGAGTGAACGGGTCTCACATGATGGCACCAGCCAAAAACACGATGAAGCCAGCTCAGCACAAATATACACACATGCACACGCGCAAGCACACACGAGTGACTGCGACTAACCTGATTGGGGCACTGCGGATCTGTTGGTGTCAGACGAGCGGTCGGGAGTGACGATTTGCACATGAAGCAAGTTGGAAGCTCATGTGAGTTCAGGAAACACACGTAGTGAAAAGCGCCACGCAATCAACACCACGGACATGAATGCCTGCAGGCAACAATGAACGGACTCACGTGGTTGCAGACGAGACGGTGGATTCTTCCAGCGCCTCCAGCGCAGACGAATGGCGCTTTCCGCTGATGGATATGGAGGAATGATTGTGTGTGTGTGTGTCAGAAAGGTGATGTAGGAAGATGAACGTGGGCGTGAGAGCAGACACAAGTGCAATGTCAAGCAGAGGCATTTGTACACAATATACGCACACACACACACGCACACATACACACACAAACAACACACACACACACACACATACACACACCGTCCAAAAGCGGAGAACAGGGAGGACCGCTTTCGTTGCGTCATGGGCGAATGAGGACCGTCCACAGAGTCCTGCGAGTCCTTCTTCTTTCCCTTTTTGCGCGAGAACAGGGACACAATCCTCTTCTTCTTCCGGCCAGACGTTGCTGATGCAGACGCACTTGCTGCTGCTGCAGCTGCTGACGATGTTGTTGAAACCGCTGTTGCCGCTGTTGTGGCGGAGGAGTACGACGATGATGACGCGCGTGTGTTCTTGGACACCGAGGACGTCGTCTGAGAGACGGTATTGTGTGTGTGTGTGTGTGTGTGTGTGTGTGTGTGTGTTGGAGGAGCGGGAGTTGGAATTGGAGGTGGAGAACGTGTCAAAGAAGTTGGAGACAGGGAGATAACTAAAGTTGGCCGGTGCACGCACTTCAAAACATCACCATCACCATCACCATCACCACCACCATCACCACAGTCGCCGCAATTACCACATCCAAGACCATCATCATCACCACATTTGACTAGCTCACCTGCTGCTGGTTCGCTCCAGCTGCAGTCTTGTCCTTCTCCCAACGTTTCACTGCCTTCTTGTAGCGTTTTGAGTCAAGGAACTTTGGGTATGTGTCCCTCTTCATCAGGTAAAACACTTCCTTCTGTGCAGGTACGAAGCAGTGGCGTGAAGGGTGTCTGTGTGCGGTGGATTGAAGAAGGAGAACGAGGAGAAAGGTGAGGTTGAAGGGCGGGGGGAGTTGAGGAAGTGGTGTGGTGTGTGCAGTGGTGGGTTATGGGTGTGGTGTGTGCGGTGGTGAGCTGGCAGGGTTGACAAATGAACATGCAGAAGAGTATGCGAAACAGGAGACACAGAGCTGTGGTGCGATTTGAGTGTACGTGACACACAAACACATGGACGCACGCACATACATCGAACCGCACGTATACATGTACACTTCACCAAACACATCCGCATCATGAAACACGTCTGCGAGACAACTCACTCCTGTTCCAGCGCCTTCTCCGCTGGCGCGCGGTTCTTGGGCTCAATGTTGAGCCAAAGTGGCGCCTCCTTGCGGAAATACGTGTTGTAAATGCGACGAACAGCAGTAGGCACCTGACGTTGGGGAGTTGGAGGAGGATTGTGTTGTTATGGTGTGTGTTTGCGTGGTGAGAGGTGATGTGCAGGAAGTTGAGGCCACAACAGGTGGCGGCGGGGAGAATATCAGTTGGCGCGCACACACACGCACACACACACACACACACGCACACACACACACACACACACACACACACACACACACACACACACACACACACACACACACACACACACACACGTGAGAGAGAGATGCAATATGCACTGCGAGTACCTCCTCGTCGGGGATGGACTTGATGCCCTGCGCGTCGCGCCAGAAACGAACATTCTCCTCACAGAGGATATCGCGCACAAATGCTTGCAAGCAATCGAGTCCTAGAGGGTGGTTACACGGAGAGGAAGGGCGAAGAAGAGTGAATACAAGCAATCAATCAAGCAATTGAAGGCAAACACTCGTTCGCACGCACACGGACACGGACGCGGACATGGGCACACATCATATCCATCAACAACTTCCTGTATGCACTTTGTGTTTGCGCGTATGCGTGCACGTGTAGTATGTATGCACACACGAACAGCGCGTGTGGACATGTGCAGCGTGTATGAACACACACACACACACACACACACACACACACACACACACACACACACACACACACACACACACAACGTGTGCGTGTGTGAATGCGACTGCATACCCTGCTCATCAGCGAGGAGGTGTTCGAAGGAGAGCGCCCAACGCCGCGGACCGACGACGCCTTCGTGCTCGGGGGCAGCGAGATCAACCTCATCCAGCGGACTGGCAGCAACGGCAGCAACGGCAGGGCGGTGGTGATGGTAATTGGAGAGGGTGGTCGTGGCAATGCAATCAATGTGGTTGGTTGTGGTGGTGGTGGCGACGGGGACGGTGAGATGCAAAGAAGCAACAGCAGCACGGGGTAACGGTGAGTGCGGCAGGTGCATGGAAGAACGACAGCGTTGCCTGCAAGCAACAATGGCAGCGGCTGAAGCCAGTGACTCACTTCCATGTCAGGTCCTTTTCCTCCTTCTGTTCCTTTGCTTTACGCAATATGGAGAAGAAGTCTGTCCGTGTGTGTGTGTGTACGTGTACGTGTGCGTGTGCGTGTGTGTGTGTGTGTGTGTTGGTAGGCGTGTGTAGGTGTGCGTGTGAAAGAGAGCGTGCATGGAAGCGTGAGTGTGCATGTGCGGGTATCTAACGACATGAATGCACACACACACACACACGCACCTCCGTTCCCCTTCACAACACATGAACACCATCAAGCATTCACAATGGGAGTTCAACATCCATCATGAGCGCAACGACCACGCAGCACATGGCCACAGCACACGCAAACAATGGCAGCAACCCACCATCACCATCGTCGTCATCATTTGCATCAGCGGCTGCAGCAGAAGCAGGTGCGCTTGCACGTGTTGTGGCTGTCGCCGTTTGTCCTTCAGATGCCTCAGCCTCTGCTTCAGCAGCAGCACTGTCGTTTTGTTGTTGCTCGTCGCTGTTCTGTATTCTCTTCCTGCCTTCGTCATCATCCTTCACAGCGGTCACAACTGGTTCAGCATCTGCCGCGCGGTCATGTGTTGCTGCCACGCCATCATGTGTTGCTGATGGTGCCGCTGTCACTGCGTCTTGCTCGGCCCCGCCTTCCTTCTGCCATACGTCCATCACATCAGCCACATCAACACCACGTGCACCGCCCTCAACACTGGAATCAGCGTGACTGTTGTTTGCGCTTGCGTTTGCATGCGCGCCTTCGTCGACTGCTACCGGCTGCGCAATATCGGATGGGATGGGCAACAGAGGACCGTCAACGGACACGCCCACGCGGCCTTCAAGCTGCCGACGGTTGCTTGCAGGCACAGCGTGCTGCTGCTGCTGCTGCTGCTGCTGTTGTTGCTGCTGTTGTTGTTGCTGTTGTTGCTGTTGTTGTTGTTGTTGTTGTTGCTGTTGTTGTTGTTGTTGTTGTTGTTGTTGTTGATGATGGTGCTGTTGTTTGTCTTTGCCTTTCTCGCCTCCCGTACTATATTCACCCCGTGTGTCTTCTTCTTGTTGCTTGCCATCAGCAACAGCAGCGCCACCTTGAGAGCCCTCAGCACCATCGCCGCTGCTGTCACGACGACGCGCTGACGACACGTCGGGCTGGCTGCCTGCAAGCACGCGCGACATGACGGCAGTCAGGTCCTTCTCCAGCGACATCACACGCGCCGAAATCTCGCCACTGGAGTTGGCATCGTTTGGTGATGACTGCACATCCCGTTGGGTCAGCGCCGCCGCCACATTGCTTCCACTTGCACCCGCGTCACGCACGCGCTCATCAACAGCGTTGCCGTTGCCAGTACTGTCGATGTTGCTGGCACTCTCTTCGATGCGTTCAGCTTCCTTCGCTTCCTTGACTGTCTCCATAGTACCACCATCATCATCACCACCACGACCCCGCTGCACGACTGCTCTGTGCATGAGACTGGTGGCAGGGGTTGGAGTCGGTTCAGTCACAGACGCCGTGCGCTGTTGGTGGTGCTGTTGTTGTGACTGCTGCTGCTGCTGCTGTTGCTGCTGTGATGTGTCTTGTTCGTGTTGCGCGTGCTGCTGGTCTTCATCAAAGGAGAAGCGAGGCGGTGACTGGCGCTTTCGTTGCCTGCAAGCACACACACGTGTGTGTGTGTGTGTGTGTGTGTGTGTGTGTGTGTGTGTGTGTGTGTGTGTGTGTGTGTGTGTGCAGTTTCGCAAGTCGCCGGGTGCCAGTCATGCCGAGGTGCTCAGACAATAGGCATTCGCCGCACATGGAATTCAAACACCACCATTGGGAACAACAAAGAAAATGCAGACAGGATGCACTTACGAGCCACGTGTGCGCGAGTGAACGAGGTCGTCCACGCCTTGCTTGACAGCAGACGAAACTAAATGCGACGCGCTCGCGTTTAGGAAGGACAGCATGCTTTCATCAGACGGCATAGACTCGTCCACCACGCGCTCGCGATCGCCACGCATGGACAACGATGATGATGACGACGCATGTGCTTTCCGTGCACCGCCGTCACCACCACGGTCGCCTCCTGCATCATCACGACGGTGCGTTGCATCATGATCAGCACCATGATCACCACCGCCTTCCTCTGGTTTCTTGAGTTGCGTTTCGAGCGGGCGAATGGGCGAGACATCCGGCAGCGTCGTGTCAAAGAGATCACTCGAGTCCTTCCCAGCCAACAACTACACACGGCACGAAAGGGCAAGGAGAACATGGAGAGTTGAGAATCAGGGTGAAAATGAGGTGTGCATGTGTGTGTGTGTGTGTGTGCGTGTGTGCGTGTGTGCGTGTGTGTGTGTGTGTGTGTGTGTGTGTGTGTGTGTGTGTGTGTGTGTGTGTGTGTGCTAGGGAGGAGTGAAGTTGGAGCAGATGGGGAAAAGGTGGGCGGAGTGATTGTGAATCATGTGGTCAGAGGTGGGGTGCGACAGCAATGGAACATCACCCTCCATGAAACACACTACTACCTCGTCCCTCTCCTTTCTTCGCTCCCCTCACATTGCCTTATCCCCTCATATTGCCTCATCTGTGTGCGTCTGTACCTGTTTGAACGAGTCTGAAGCATCGCTGGCGGTCGACGAGCGCCTGTGCTGGGGATAGGCCAGACGGCGACCAGCATCCTGAAGATATGCCACATCCGACAACACCTGCGCAGCGTGTGTGCACATGCATGTGTGTGTGCACATGCGTGTGTGTGTGTGTGTGTGTGTGTGTGTGTGTGTGTGTGTGTGTGTGTGTGTGTGTGTGTGTGTGTGTGTGTGTGTGTGTGTGTGTGTTTGCGTGCGTGTGACCATTGTTGTGAAAACAGACGGCACCAGCCTTAACAGTGCAAACAACACCAATCACAGCGGTGACCACACACACACGCACACACGCGCACACACACACACACACACACACACACACACATACACACAATACACGTGTGCAGACCTGTCCGAGCGCGGACGATGGGTCGGACGTCTGCGTGCTGTCGAGCAGTGATGTGCCAACACGTGTCGATGCATTGCCCGTTGCACCCGCGCCTCTCGCTGCCATTTTTGTTGAGTCAGCAGCAGCTGCCGCGTCCTCTGCGACTGTGAGGAAGGACTGTACCTCCAGTGCGGACGGACGGGAGAGTGGATCCTGATTCCAGCAGTTGACAAACTCCGCTGTGGTGGGTGACATGCGAGGTGTGGTGGGTGGGAGTTGTGGTTGTGGTATGGGTGAGAAGAGTAGGTGCGATAACGAAGAACACGTGCACACGAGACCACGACACTTGGGCGTCCGTAAAAACAAATTATATAGCGTACACTTGCGACAGAGGAGCAGTAAACGCCAACACTTTCAAGACGCAACAACTGCACCCATGGCCCCTTCCAGCTGCTTCCGTGCTTGCAAGCAAAAAGCAGGTGGCGACGTACGTTGGAGGGGCGAGGGTGCGCGCACGAGACGCGACGTGTTCCTGACGGCGTTTGCACACGCATCCGATGTGCGGCAGTGGGCAAGCGGGTGCTTCAACTCAAGCACCTCAACCACCAGCAGTCCCAGGCCTGTCATGTGTGAATGTAAGGGAATGGGGAAGGGAGGGGGTTAGCTATGGGCGGACTTGTCAGTGACGCACACTGTGTATGTGTGTATGTACATGTGGGGCACGTGTGGTGCCCCACTGTGTGAACAACCACGCCACACACCGCCACCATAACCATCATCACCAACATACAACAATCGACACCACTGTCACCATCCACATCGATCAACTCACTGAAGACGTCTGCCGCGGCTGTTGCGGTGTTTGGGTCGAGCACCACCTCTGGCGCACGATAGCG